GTCCTCCACTTAGGCAATTTTAAGCACTCACCAGCCTATGTGATCAACATAGTTTTAAGCACACAGCACCCTATGTGATATCCAGGCGTATAGACAGATATGCTGAGTTTAACGATTGTTACTAAAAAGATAGTCCAGGAACCGGGATATCACGTGGGCCAACGGCCGTTGTGTCTATACCCCAAATCTCCGACGTTACCCCTGAATCAGAGATAACCGAACAAGATGACCATTTAAAGTAACGATCCCTTCACACATCCTGCCATAGGATACATTCAGATGCCAGCGATTACCAAGAGACGATGGTTAAGCGGTCATTCATCAGACCTAGGACGCCACTTCGGCCAAAGGCCACCGTGTCAACATCCCAAGCGCTCCGACGGCGACGTTTCCCCTGGTAGAGGAAACCGAGCAGTAATTAACATAACCACCTAAACCCAGCAATCGGGCACCGAAAGTCCCATAACAACCCCCAGGGACTGTAGGCGTCATCCCTGTATGAGCCAACTAATTTCCCTATTCTTATCTGCAATTATTGAGACCGTAAGTCAATGATAGAAAATATGTATATATGATCAAAACATCTCTATAAATATGGATATATGCTCAAAGCATCTTTATAAATGTGGATATATGATCAGAGCCTCGTTATAATCATGGATATATAATCAAAGCATCTTTGTAAATATGAATATGCTCAAAGTATGTTTATAACTAGGGCTATACGATCAAAGCTTCTATATAAATATGGGTTACGACATTCATGATCATGAATATAAAAGTATTATGGTTCTCAATCCATGGAGTACAGTAGAATAAAGGAAACACTCAGTGATTGCTCACCTTTCAGGTAACCAAAACACTACACCCAATAGCACATCAACACTGTAATCAAGTCCACAAAGCGCACTAGTTGGTCTGAGAAGCGATCACCTCCACGCAATAATTGAACTGCATTGCCAGCCTCGCCCGTGTCTTTAAGAAAGTTTATCCTGGGAACAAGTACCCAGAGAAGGAATGGAATGTATAATTTAAACAGGCGTAAGGGCCGTTGCGCTGAGTGACACTAAGCAGCCTTGTGAACCTTCTGGAAAGATTTTGTGTGCTACAGGGTTGGACTCGCATGCAAAAATGTGTTTGAGATATTTCGAAAGATTACATTAGGCCGTCCGACATTCACCTCGCCCCGAGGTGATCATTCGCTACCCGACGACTCTGGAAGTGGGACTCCATCGTCACCATTTTCGCTACCCGTGTCGTCCGACACACCTGGTGTTCACCAAGGTTTCATCCCGTCCTCTCATAATTCGCCTTCCAGTACGGTGCGATCCCCCCATGTCCGATACAACATACCTATCTTTAGGCAAAGCCGCTTCAACGACCAATAAGGTAAGACTAAATCACCTGGTATATATTTCCGCGGAACCTTCCGCTTCTTGTCAAAACTGGCTTTTTGTTTCTGTTGAGCTGCCTCTATTTTTCGGACAGCTCTCTCCCTTGTGGCAACAAGGTCTTCGAGGAGTGTGGGGACTTGACTAACTTCGTCCTTTAGAGCCATATCGACAACCGTTTTCGAGTCCATAACCAAATAAAAGTTAATTTGGTGTTTTCCCTGTAGACTTATTTGGGACGCTGTTTATGGCAAACTGAACATTTGGAAGTTCTCTGTCCCACAGGTTTTCCTCCAACGTCGTTGTAAGTAAAGCGTTTAGCAACATCCGATTTAAACGCTCTACTTGTCTGTTTGCCCTGGGCGTCGCTACAGCATTCAGAACACGTTTGATGTTGTTCTGATGGCAGAAATCTCTGAATGTCTTGGCTGTAAACGAGCTACCCTGGTCACTGATTAGTACCCTAGGTATTCCATATGTTGCTGACAGGGTTGTGATGTGATCTATCATGTATTTAGTCTTTGTCGACTTTACGGCCTTCAGTGCGACAAATTTCGTGAACCCATCAATTATCGCCAAAATGTGACAATTGCCTTTCCTACTTTTTGGGAATGGTCCCATGTGGTCAACGTGCACCGTGAAGAAAGGAGCTGGAGTTTTTGGAATCGGGTGCAAGAACCCTTCGTTTCTACCAGCTGGTTTCTTGTTATACAAGCACAGGATGCAGCAAGAAATATATTTCTCCACATACTTCCTCATTATTGGAAACCAGTAGTGATCCGTTAAACGATACAATGTTTTATCCACAGAAAAGTGACCGAAATCATCGTGTGCCGCTTTCACAACTTGATGACGCATACCTCGTGGCACAACCCATTGAATACCTCGAACCGTAATACGATAGACTCGTCCATCCATCAAAGCATAGTCCTTATAGACTTGCTTTTCCTCGTTCTACGTAGGCGGTCTGGACAAGATGTCGTGAATTCGCCTGATCTCGTCGGTAAGTTGACCAGATAATACCCAATCAGCCTGCTCAACTCGGAACACCGTTTCTGGTTCGGCAGCGCAACCGTCTGGATTTCTACTCACGACAATCCACGTGTTCCATTCGAGCTCCAGGTCTGTACTTCACTTCAAAGTCAAACTCCTGGAGTTGCAAGCACCACCTAGCAATTCTGGGTATTATTTGCTTCTTTACACTTGTGGCCTTCAACGCATTACAATCAGTCACCACTGTAAAATGAACCCTTAGCAGATATAACCGGAACTTTTTCAAACTCTCAACCACCGCCAGAGTTTCCAACCCATATGAGTGGTACTTCTGCTCACCATCGGTTGGTTTCCCTACTATAGTACGCCACTGGCTGTACCCGCTCATCGGGCTGCATTTGCAAGAGTATCCCTGCAACTCCCAGCATACATGCGTCGCAATGAACTTCAATCGCAGCAGCTGTGTCATACAAAGCCAAAACTGGCCAACTCACTAAGTTGCTCTGCAACTTCCTAAATGACCCTTCTTCCTGCTCGCCCCATAGCCAAGACACACTCTTTCTGAGAAGATTTGTGAGGGGCTTAGCTACGATAGCGTCGTCCTTTACAAAATGCCTAAAGTATCCTGTTAGCCCAAGGAACTGTCGGACTTGGTGTACAGTTCTTGGTTGACGAAAACTCTCCACCGAGTTTGTCTTCTCCTCGTCGGGTTTGACCTTTCCATCCTATATTTATAGACCCAGAAATGTAACTGATCTCATCAGAAAAGCACATTTCTTCAAGTTCAAAGTGAGGCCTTCCTCTCGAAAGATTTCCAAAATCTTTTGGATACCCTCTAATGCTTCCTCCGCAGTCTTAGCATGCAGCAATACATCATCAAGATATACAGCTGCAATGTCTTGCGCCGGCTTGAGCAACCGGTTCATAAGCCTCTGAAATACTCTGGGTGCATGTGAAAGGCCGAAAAGAACTCTATTGAATTCATAGAGACTTCCTGGAGTGACAAATGCTGTGTATCTCCTCGATTCCTCCTCCATAGGAATTTGGTAGTATCCGGACCTAAGATCTAGACTAATGAAATAGATTCCATCACGGAGCCTGTCGACTTGATCGTCAATTGTTGACAAGGGATGATTGTCCTTGATTTATATCACACACAAAGGGCGATTGTCGACACATAACCTTCCTTCCATCTTCATTTTTCTTCTTGATCAGAAGAACCGACGATGCATAGTTTGAGTCTCATGCTCGTATGACTTTCACGCTCAGAATATCATCGACTATCTCCTTCACAGCCTCTAGCTCTGAGCCAGCCATTCGGTAAGGCCGATACGTGAATGGCCTATCCTCTTTAGGGTTCAGCCATGGACTGAGCAAAAGAGTCGCGATATTGATCTGGCGAACTAACCAACTTTCTTCGCTAAACTTCCGATATGGTCCCAACCGTGATGTCCTTCTCTTTATTTTGGAATCATCGAAATATAAATGATCTCATCAGGAAATCAGATCTCTTTGAATATAGACTTTCCTATCAATAAATTTCAAAAACTCTCTCGGTATCTCCACCGTTTCGCCGACTGGCAATAAGCCACCATCACAATATCATAAAGTTATTAGAAAGACTGAGAAAACCTCGCTACATTCACAGAGAATGCCAAGATAACAAAGGATGTGCAGGACTCGAATTGTTCCTAGTTGGGTATCTTTAGAGGTACAAAGGAACCTGCCTATAGTGAAAAGCAACTTTTTTGCAACTTCTTCCGAAGTGAAGGGTTTTTCAACAAGTAAAGTGTATTTCTCACGTAACTTTGATACCACAAGGGTCTTGATACCACGTCTCACCTTTATTTTCCATGCTTAAGTGACAAACATTATGAACTGTGTCAAAACAATTACATAATCCTTCAGTATGGCCACTCCCGAAGGGTTATTGGAAATGTACCAGTTTGTCACCACATCGAAACAAGTGTGACCAAAATTACACAACCTTTTCATGGGCAACCGTCCACTTTCATTGCCCAATAAAACCTATTTTCGGCATAGCACCATTGACAGCACTTGCAATTAGTCAAACTCTAACCACCCGCTGATTATTGTTTCCTATTTTGACCTTCACCCTTATAAGTGCACTGTTGTCCCCAAAATAACAAACATTGCCTTTTCTGTAAAACTCTAAGTAGAGTGTCCTTTCCTGCGACTCAGATAACGACCTTTACCAAAATTTGTTTTCTGTTTTAACCCGGGGTATGTTCATAAGACTAAAAATCTAGCTGCTTGGCGTCAAGCAAGCGAAAAGGGACTGTTATATTTAGTAGGTAGTACGATTTATTAGATTTTCACCATTTTTCTAATAAACAGCTGTCAACTTCTCTAACTTGGGCACTCATAATGCATCAAGGCCTGTATAGATCAGCCAAATATAGTGCGAGGCTTATCTATTTTATGACAGTACTTGACAGCAAACTGTTTTCGATCTCTCGAGATTCTCCAGGGTCGGCGTTACCCATTGACGATGAACGGAATATTTTTCGAATATTTCGAATATTTGACAACCTGCTCAAATCCATATGAGACAAAAATATGAAGAAGTACGAGGGTCGACGTTCAATACGTCAGGACCGACCAAGAGTTTCTCATGAGACTTTGCTTCCTTGTATCTACAAGACAATCCTGACATTTGACCAAATACCAACAGCATCAGAAGCCCATAACCATCAGATCTAGGCACATAACCGTCAGATCTAGGCACATAAGTGTCAGATCCAGGCACATAAGTGTCAGATCCCACTTCTGAGAAAATATGTAGGATACGAACGAGATTATAATATTAGAAATATAACGATAAACGTGAGAGCCAATACTTGCTTCAAATTGTAAAATGTAGAAATACAGAATGCTGTCGTCCAAGAAGTGGCCTATTTAGATTACTAGACAATAGGTTTCTTCCACCACCTGTATAAGAAAAACAAACAGTTGATGACTTTGTTTTGGATGAAGGAGGGCAATTTCTTAATCTTCCAGTCAATTTAGCTCTACGCTTAAGTGCTTCACTCAAAGATTTCCTGCAAATGCCCTACAATTATTTTTGTCCGACGGTAAAATTGAGGCTATCAAGTCGAACATGCAAAACGTGTGGTTGTGGTCTTTATCATGCTTCCGTCAAGTCACTAAATCGTCACATCGAAAATATCCATAAAAAAGTAAACACGCACACTGATAGGAAAGTTAGACCTGTAAGAGTCGCTGCTCGTCGCGCTAATGAACTGATGTGCGTTATTCAAAATTTAGAGCACCATGATGTTGAATGGCTCGATGAGAACGACGTAGACATTCCAAAATCCGTTGAAAGCGAGCAAACTCACAACACTGAGTAGCAATCGAAGCAATCCACTGTCATCGAAAACTTAGAATCATGGATTCGGGTTTCATGGGCTAAAGACTGTTAATTTGAATTTAATATATGTACCAAAAATTTAAAATAAGTTTGTTATGTTAGTAAGATATAATATTTTTGTCCTTTACTCTATGTTGAATACCGTATCAGTAAAATATAATCTCTATCCTAAATCTATTTTCTTATTTTTCAAATTATAATTATAACGTTATAATTATAATATTAAAAAAACAATACATTACTTGACAAATGTTTACGTAAGCATGGGGGGAGGGGGTAAGAGCTTTGCTTACTTTTGCTGACGAGGGGGATGGGGGGTAAATAATTGTAATGAATCGGCTTACGTAATACTTGAACGGCCCATAAACCAAAAAGCACCGATTATTAAGTGATAATAAAAATAATCAGAAATTATATACGCGGTTTTCTAAAATAAACAACTTCAAACAAAACCGCGGTTAAAACAAACGCGTTCAAGCGATTCGAGTAACTGACGTCATCAACCCGTGTGTCAGCTTAAACCATATTATAACCGCGGTACATAACACAGATATTTTGGTTATTCGCTTGGATTTGAGTAGTGTCGGTGTGCTATTGCCTGTAGTGTCACAGATTATACAGATGCGACACCTGCTGTCGGTCCCTTTGATCTTCCTGTCCGCAACTACTTATACTTTATCTGAAGTCACTTGAAACAGCATAAAAACCTTTGGTCGGCGCGTCCTTTGTAATTTCATGACGTATCATTGGCGTGCGGTCATTTATTTAGAACGATAATAATAATGTTTTTATATCACAATAAATGGATTTTACTATCTTCTTATTTTGATTTGGGATAAAAAATACTTATATTGGGAGTTTAATTTATGTTGACTGAAAGTTAAGAAATGGAAAAATTACAGAATTCCAACGTTTGACATAGGCAAATATTGACATAGCAGGTAGGTATATAAAAAGGTATATAAAGACTTACATTATAGATATTTATATATCATCCTCGCCTTCGGAGCTGTCGCTAGAGTCATCTTGTAGAGGAATTACAACGGGATTTACAGGAGGCAAAACACAATATTCATTTTCTTTTTCAATAATATGCCTAGAACACTGCTTCCATAGGTCTGTGGCAGCAATATGAGATACTGCATCTCTTATTGTGGCCAATAGCGATTCACTTAATTGAGGGGTCTGATTATGTTTTCTTACTTTTTTTTTTAAAGCAGCCCAGACCAACTCAATCGGGTTAAAAATGCAGTAATAGGGAGGTAGACGTAATACTTCATGGCCATTTTGCTGAAGCAGATTGTCAACAACATACTCTTTTTCAAATTTTTGTCTTTTAATAAGATCCAATAATATGGCTTTGGTTGATTTTTGTGGTATTTCCATTCCCTTATCCTTCATAAAATCAATAATGTCTTGTTTTTTTGTGCCTGTATTCGGAATTTTGTTTTTCTGTCGGGAATGGTATGGCGCATTGTCCATAATAATAACTGAACTGAATTTGGGGAAATGTTTGGTATTAACTGCTGCTCTATCCACTTTTCAAATAAGTCGGAGGTCATGTCCTCATGATAGTCGGCACATGATTCTTTGATATTTTTGGCAGATAACAGCAAGGCATTAGGTATAAATCCATTTTCACTGCCAGCATGGAGAATAATGATTCGTTTTCCACGGTTGCATGGTACATTTAAAATGCACTTGTTGCTGTCGTCAACCCAGCCGTACTCCACAACATCATGGGTATCATACCACGTTTCATCCAGGTAAATCAGATTTCTTTTCTGCTCTCTATAGATTTTAACTTTGTGCAAAAATTCTTGGCGCAATTCAACGATTCAAGACGACTCCATAATCACCATTCTTTTATCTAATTTTTTGTATTGAAAACCACACAGTTTTACAATACAGTGCAGTGAGTCTAAGCATTTGTAATTATAAAAATCTTCAGGATAATCTTTTAATTTATCCCGTATCATTTCCAACGTGGGCACCAAATTTTCTTTATAAAACCCGTATATTATACGACGAATATCTTCCTGAAAACCCACGTCTATTCTTTTTAATTTTTGCCCTATGCGCTTTCTGTGGAAGGAATGGTTGACTACATCTCCCCTTTTTATAACCCGATAAATGGTAGACCGACTGATTTTTGTCAGGATACAAATTCTGTTTAAAATTTGATTTTGCGAGGAATCTGGATTTTCGTTTTTCAGACAATCATACATATTTAGGATTACTCTTTGGGTCTGTTCCTCTAAATCTTTATGAAAGAATTCTGCCTGCACAGGTTCATCAACCATCTCCTCGTGGCTTGGAGCATTTTCCCAAGGTCTCCAAAGAGCCATATTTAGGACACACAAGAACAATCAACACAACAATTAAATCAACAAGTAAACCGAGTATTCAAAAGTCAAAAACACACAAACTAATAAAATCTATGAAAAAACACGGACAGACTAAAGAAAACACGTTTATTCACCGCTACACGGCACTGGCTAAACTGTTTCAATTTTCAGTAGCCACCTGCACTTGTTCGGAGCTCTGAAATACACGCTTTCTCATTGGCTATGTCCACGCATAGGCGTGCTTTATTTACTCCACATGGACCGGTGAAACTGCCTTTGATCTTATACGGGGGATATTTGCTGCGAAATTTGGCGATGTTAAATATAGATATATAAAACGCACCCGGTATTTCACAGTGTTTCAAGTGACTTCAGATAAAGTATACCACATTTCCCGCTTATGTTCACTAGCGTCCGGAGGATTTTTTCCTAGGGGTTGTTACGCGTTATTAGCAAGACGTCACGAATGTCATATGTCAAATATAATCAAGAAATTTATTTGTGTTCGTTTACCCACATGCATTTTGGGGAGATAATTATTATTATTTCTTGAAAAGCTATTTATATATTTATATATAGTATTGATAAAACTCATTGTTTTTGATAACCCTTCAATTATAAATGTCACATCAACGCGAATCGAACCAAACACATAGGACTCAAGTTGGCGTTGATTGAACCTGACGTTTGACAGAGTGACGCCTCTGTATAATACTCTATGGTAGTGTTTTGGTTACCTGAAAGATCAGCAATCACTGATATTTCCTTTATTCTGCTGTACTGCATGGATTTAAACTATAATACTTTCATATTCATGAACATGAATGCCTTAAGCCATGTTTATGAAGATGATATGCTTTTTACCTTCATATTTTAATTTATGGCTTACGACCTTACTATTGGTTGTTATTGAATATCCGCAGGTGGGACGCCTCCAGGTTCTGGGGGTTGTTATGGGACTTTCGGAGCCCGATTGCTGGGTTGAGGTAATTATGCTAATTACTGCTCGGTTTCCTCTGCCAGTGGAAATGTCGGAGCGCTTGGGATGTTGACACGGTGGCCTTTGGCCGAAGTGACATCCTGGGTCTGAAGTCTGAAGGACTGCTAACTATATTCTCTTGGCAATCGCTGGAGTCTAAAAGTATCTCATGACACGATTTGCGTAGGGCTTGTTAAAGTAGTTATGTTGCTCGGTTCTATCTCTGATTCAGGGGTAACGTCAGAGTTTGGGATATTGACACGGCAATGTGATATCCTGGCTCCTGGAATGCTTTTCGTAACAATCGTTAAACTCGGCATGGATGTCCGGACACCTAGCGCCCAAAGAGTCAGTCTGTGTGACGATTCACAGTATGTCTGTGTGACGACACATAGTCTGTCTGTGTGACGACTTAATGATCAGGCTGTGTGATGATCCCATGATTCAGTCTGTGTGACGAATCCTTACTAGTAGTTGGCACTAATGTAATGGTAACTAGTAGATTTGTGCAAGAGATGTCATGAGTCAGTTGGAAACGGGAGATACTCATGTCATTTTCTAAAAATAGGTGTCGGCCCCGACAATCCGATCATATCACCCTTATCGCTTGTCAAATAATGAGGATAACTCGTTGTCGTTTCGTCACCAAGTAAGTGGCTTTAATATTATCCTGACATTGTTACCCATAACAAATTGTTTACGTGCTGGCCTTGTAGTAAAAATGAAATGGTACATGGTGGTACCTATTCTAAGCTGGGTTTGTTGTTTTCACGTTTATCGTTATATTATATTGGGAGGGGTTAGGATTGTAGGGGGTTGTAAGTGTTACATAGTCTAACGACATCCATAAAAGTTGCGTTCTTAGTTGAAAATCTTAGGCTAAGTAAATTCGATTAGAAAATCAGAAAAAGCTAAATCTCGGTTTTTAGGGGCATAATAGCATTCCTTTCAATATTTTTTGTAGCCCACCACTCAGAAATCCTGAACAAACCAAAATGTTTTTATTTTTTCTAACTTTAAGAAATATCAAAAAACTAATTAAACTTTTCCAATGGGACTTTTTAGGCACTACATGATGGTGTTTTTAAATTTTGTGCCCAACGTTTCGTTTTTGAGAATCCATCATCTTTATTTTTTATAAGGTCCTAAAAAAAGTACACGTTGTATCTGATAGCATCTTTTTCTACGAATTTAACGATGTATTATTACATGTTACATTTGTATTCTTAGTTATAAAGAAAAATATTTTTTCATTTCAAGTAGACCTGGCAAACAAAAATGCTCGATGTAAGATTATGTGATTGCTGATAGAGCATATTACATATTACGTAATGTTATGATGGGGTAAAGTTTTATAAAATGATGCTTAATCTAGTGTTATTTAGAGTAACGAATACATGTT